CAAAGGTTCAAAGACTTTTTTAATAAACTTTAATAAACAAAATGTTTGAAAATGTATTCAAAGAGGAAGTGGCGTTACTCCACGCACACACACACACATACATGTACGCACGCACGCACGCACGCACGCACGCACACACACACACACACACACACACACACACACACACACACACACACACACACACACACACACTGTGCATGGCAGCTGGACTTTTCCTCAGTAAGATGTGTCTCAGGATAATTCCTCAGGCCTCATCCCGCATCATGATGCATTTTTCCTCTCCCCTGCTCTGGTGGACCGTCAGTTAATAAGTCTCTACTGACTTCGTTTACAAAGACAACGTTAGCATCTGAGCTGTAAAGAGGCTTGGGGAGAGCGCCCGGAGCCTCCTCAGGAGTTTCAACTGAGAAATGTGATGCTGTGCATGATCTATGGGGCGCAGGCACTGGCTGTTATTAAGATATATAGCGTGTTTCAATCAAACAGGTTATCATGCTCAGGAGCCATTATTGTTCCGTAGCTACTCATGCTTTTTCATCAGAGTAGAAAACCTGAATCAGTCCTAACAAATGATGCTGTTCCATGATTTATCTTTACACTACAGAACTTAGTGTTTGCTGCGGTAAGTATTGGCCTACATTACATTACATAAGAACGCGTATTAATTTGGAAGACTAGAATGAATATTTAGTCATATCTGCCAGATAGCTTACATCAGTCCAGATCACATTATTTAATTTACTATTTTACCCTTTATCTTTGAATTTATACGTTTATAAATTTCCAAGAATCCAATATTGGTTTCAGTGTACGGAAATATTATGGGAAAAAAATCTAATTATAATTAAATGTTAATACTATAAATGCGCACATATTATTCAAACAAAGTCATGTTCTTCATTACGTTAAATATAGACTATTGACCAGCTGGGCTCGACATCTTTCTTCATAGACCTAAATTATTAAATTAAATCTAAAACAATAAAGTATTTTTGAAGCAGCTTCAGAGCCTTTGCCTTTTTCCACAAGCACGTCATATTCGACAAAACTATGATTAAAGAAAATAAATGTATTATCTGATGAAACAATGATTAAAAATCACCTCATTTTAATTATTTTCGCAATTTTGTCTGTTTCGCCCGCTTTAATGTAACAGGCCTCCATGAGCAGTCTCTTATACGCACTACAATAATAAATTCAAAACATCATATAGAGAAATTATTTCAAATGTGTTCCTCAATTATTCCGTAGTAAAATTTTATAATGAAATAAAAAAATGTGTTCGTTGTGTGATATTTGATAAATAATAATGCTTGGCTATACATTTTATACACAAGCTTGAATTTACTACAATGAAATCAGTAACCTACAATATTCTGACTTGACTGCGCTGTAATTTGAAATTGTCTCCACATCTACTTAAAAGAAAATCCCTGTCAAAGGAAATCTGTCGTTTTTTACATTTCTCTCCATTTTACATCTGCTGGATTTTTTACGGAGCACGTGTTAATGTCACCTTTTCACGAGGTTGAAGGTGAACGAAGTTTCAGACTGTTTGTCCCTCGGCATTAATAAACTGTAATAAACTTTAACCTAAAATAAAACTTTTAACTGATTATAATGTGATCAGTTGTTTTTATGGGCAGATTCTCCACCCCAAAATATTTAGACAATATTTCACTTTCAAAATAAGATACCCTGTGGATGTGTGTGAAGTGAAATTAGAAATGCGGTGTAAATGTAGGCTATGCTTTCTAAATCCAGGTCCACTGGTGCGAATGGAGGCTTTCGCTCCATGCAGGGAAAGCAAATTCCCGGCTGGAATTCAAATGTCAGTATATTTCAAAACAACACAGACACTGTGTTGTTTTATTTTTTTTTTTAAACTGTGCAACGCTGAAATGTAAGATTTCCTTCATGATGAGCTGACTTGGTTTCTTATCTCGTTTTTAATGACCCAGCTAGTTTAATGGTTGCTCACTGACTTGTTTAAGGGGGATTAAAAATCAAATCACTTGCTGGAAAAGAAGAGAAGATGTGCTGTCATAAACACCATTTATTGTACTGTAAATAGTTTTATTGGTGGCCTGGCTTATAGACTTATTCCACTGATCTGGTCTGTCATTCACTGTGAATAAACCTCTATTAGAACTGTATCTCTTCATATCAGCTGAGAGTTTGATGTGAATTTCCCAAATGTTTGAAATGGTTCAATCTTTTATCACTTTAATAGTCTGGAGAGAAATAAAACAGCGGCTCAGGGTGAACTGGAGAGACTGTAATCTGCATGTTACTCTACAGTTCTCATTACTGGCAGCAGAAGCTCAGTTTTTGGCCATAAATAACCTCCCTCTGGCCCGATCCCTCTGCGTTACCCTGCGTAATGACTGATGGAAAACTATTTTAACTCCATGATATTGGAAGCTCACTTTAAAGCGCACAGGAAAACAATACTCACAATATTACATAACCTATATTTTGACCTAAGTGTGGAGAGTCTACTTGTCCAAGTCACTTCTGTGAGGCAACGTGTTGAAAATGAAGGTGGTTTTGCAGATAATGTTTTCAAGCTTCTTCAGCACCAGTGTCTCCAATTAACGCGCTGGCAGCCCGGCCTGCAGGGCGGAGGCCCCTCCGAAAATTAAAATCCCACAGCCTGCGGTCTGAGGAGAGGCCATGTTGACTGCGAAACATCCCGAGCATCTCTCACTGGAAAACAAAGTCGGTTTCTACACTAAACATGTCAGAAACACTGCCAACGGGGCTGGGATTGTGTAAGTGAAAAACAAGTTCTGAACCAACAAATGCAACATAACCAGGAGTGAGGGGCACTTGTGCCCCGTCACTAAAGTCAGGTTACATACCTACTATTGTACAACACTATGTATTCATTTGGAAGTGACTTATCTTTCAGCTCACAGCTAAAATTCCCAGCTGTTACTTTATGCAGACACCTACTTAATTATCACAGATTACACATTTGACTCATCAGCATTTAATCAAGTTTAGACTTGACCCTTACTGGTTCGCTGTGATCCATCGGAAGCTGCCCAGGAGTTGGAATCAGGTCCTTTACAGATGAATGTGGTGGATTCAGGCTCAAAGGCCAAAGCCGGGCTCAGGACACTTGGTTTGGGTCCTGAATTGAAAGTGCAGCCAGCCGCTCGGTCTGTCTGCGGTCCAACTCATCATTTCTCCTCAGCTGCGCTCTAGCCTATACCTTCATCCTCGTAAATAAAAGCGTTAGCCCCTATGAGCAATGCGTAGTTCATATTTATTTGTCGTAAATAACTGTGTTAGCAGTGTATGCGACGCAGAGCTCAGATTTATAGCCTCGACCAGCAGCCTGCCTTCTCCGAAAGACTCAAGACTCCACGTCTGTGATAATCGTAAAGAAATATACACACTTACAGTCTCGGTGACTTTGATAAGGGTCAGCAGGAAGCCAAGTGTCTGCACTCAAAGCCAGTCCGGTAGCTGCTCATCACTCTCCTCATTAAAGGCGAAATGCCTGCTTGTGTCCCTCAGTCGCTGCCGTCTGTACACCACCGGGAGCTCCAACACAGACCAGCAGAGCCAGGTCATCTCCTAGTCCACCATAGTCAGCCTCAGTCCTCGAAACCTCCACCGAACTCCGGCCCGAGCTGTGTTTACCCTCGGCGGTCTGACCGCTGAGTGAGAAGCGCCTTTTACCCGACCGGGAAAAAGGCAGCAACAGCCTCAGTCGCGTTTACGGTCCGCACCATCACAGGCCATATATCAGCCCTATAAAACCAAAGCAGCCGCCCTCATGTAGGATTTTATTATGGTATTAAACGGACCCCAAAAAAGTAGTTGAAGTAGTTTGCGCTGTTAAGACAAGGATCATAACCACGCAGGACCCGCTTTAATGGCGCTCGTTAACAAATATGACTGTTAATCTGCCAATAAAAGTGTGTCAAGCGCTCTGCAGCTCACAGAGAAGCTCCCGAGCAGATTTAGAGAGCGGCTAAATAATTAAACACACCTAGGTGTGAATTTCATCTATCTATCTATCTTGTCTTGTACACAGAACACGGGCCTGTCTCTGCTGCTGGCGCGCTTCAAGTGTGAGACTACTGGCCCTGATACTAATGGTGTTTTAAATGCCGACTCCCTGATCCTGGGATTGATTGAAGTGATTGCTTGTGTACAGCTCTACAAGAAGCGTAATGCCTCTCGTGCGCTCTTACATTAAAATGCACGCGCATCTATTTTGATTAAGTAAGTAAATAAAGAAATAAATAATAAATAAATAAAAACAATGGCGTCACTTTAAGCTGTTTGTCAGCCATTGTCTCCGCTCTGCATCTCATGCTGTCTAGACGAAGCACACGCGGGTTTCTATAATTCTGTCTTGACAGCAGCCGTAGATACACAGACTCCATCTACCGACGCACTGTTCATTTTGCATATTGCATATAAACAAGACAATTTATTTAGAAGAGGGGCAATCTATTAAAGAGAGAGGGATAGAGAGAGAGAGAGAGAGAGAGAGAGAGAGAAAGAGAGGGAGGAGGGAGTGAGAGAGGGAGAGAGGGGGGGGTGGGTGGGGGGGGGGGGTGAAGGTTGATTTACGCTTCCATTGAGCTTTATCAGGCTCGAAGAAAAAGTCCGGCCAATCAGTTTGCGCCTCGCGCAAAGTCCCGAACCCCCATACCTCCCCACACACACACACACACACACACACACACACACACACACACACACACACACACACTCCCCTCGCACAGTGCAGGACTGTAGGCTGTAGCACTTTGTTTCACTATAGTGAGCAAGTTGTTTGGAAGGAAGGGGGCTCGAATCCAGGAGAGAGAAAGACAGACAGCGAGAGACACAGAGGAAGGGAGGGGGAGAGCGAGCAGAGGACACAGCAGAGGAAGAGAAAGAGAGAGGGGAAGAGAGAAAAATCTCGTAATGTCTCTCTTCTTGTTCTCTATTTAGTGAACTCGCGGCGTTTACGCAGATAATGTCCGAGAATGTCCATTTCTGGGACTTTGAGCAACTATTACGTGGACTCCATCATAAGTCACGAGAGCGATGAACTCTCAACCCCAGCTCGCTTTCCCAGCGTCCAGTACTCCGGCTCAAGCTCCGCTGCAGCCGCGGGCGGACGGCAGCCTGGCGGCGGCGCTGCGCACGCTGAGCATCCCCATCCCGAGTCGTACCCATCCTGCAGCTTCCAGCCGAAGCCTCCGGTCTTCTCGTCGTCCTGGAGCCCGTTCAGTCCGCACCACGGTGCCAGCGGCGTCCCCGCTGTCTACCATCCGTACATCCCAGCCCAGCACGTGCCCGCCGCGGAAACACGGTACCTACGCTCATGGCTGGACTGCACGCCGCGCGGCTCCGAGTCTGTCCCGGGGCAGGGCCAGACGGGGCACGTCAAGCTGGAGCCTCAGCTCGGCCACCTCGGCGGGGAGATCGCACCCAAAATCGGCGGACAGCTCCAGCACGAGACCACCACGTACATCCTGGAGTCGACATCCACGGCTGTGCGCGAGCTGAGCCACCATCCAGCCGCCATCCCCGGAGCGCGGTTCGAGGAAAACAAGGACATTTGTGAAGGGAGTGAGGACAAAGACGGCGTGGATCAAAGTAAGTTATTAAAGCAGGAAATTGCGCGCGGGAGAGGGAGAGCAGAGAATGAGAGATTGTAAAAGCTTTTAATGCCGCCATAAAACAAGAACAAAGAGCCGGAGAGCCAGAGTGCCCCCACCTCCTGCTCTCTGCCTTTACTGTGATATTTGCCCGTATCGTCCCTGAGACCAGCCGGCTCCTGTAGGAACAGACACGGAGCTGAGATAGAGATGCTTCATAACTGCACACACTTATGGACAATTTACAAGATAATTAGCCAATCATAAAATAAATAAATAGATAAATGCACCAAATAACATCCACACAGTTTGACAAAAACAAGAAACAAGAACAACCAAAAAAGACTATTACAGCCTGTTAGATTTTTTTTTATTGTTGGGTGATGCTGTTACGTCATCCCCATATGATAGTTTGAAAGTAAGTAAAAAGTAAGCTATAATGATTTCTAGTTTGGATTACCTGCCAGTAGCCCAATTAATCACATGAATTACTCTTATATCTTTACATGCGTGATCTAAAAGGAACACAGCCCGTTATTACAGAGGCTTGTAAAAGAAAAGGGGTCAGGATGCTTCCGGAAACCTTTGAAATCAAAGTGAGAAACTCGGGAGGAATATAAAAATCTATACAATATATTAAAGCGGGAGAAAAGAAACAAAAATAAAACTCATAGTGAGATATTTCAGTGTTTTCAAATCTCCATCCTGTAATCATCAGGCTGACGGTGATGAGAGGACGTTGCTGAGTTTGGGGAACCTCCAGGTTGTTGTTGAATGCTATAGTTGCCGAGACATGCGCACTTCTGCTTGGTTTGAAAAGGAGCGAGTGGCTTTAGATTTGTACCTTTTTTTTTTTTTTGAACTGGAGGTAGATCTTCATTTCTCTCTGTCAGCGCTCTTGTGTCTGCGTGTCAAAGTCACACCGCTTCAGACCTGTAGGCCTCCTGGTCTCTATCCTCCTGCCCACTGCCAAGTGTTAATCTACAGTCATTATCTCCACTCAAGAGCTTTATGCTGAACGTGGACAGGCTGGATTATTTTAAAGCAGCCAGTCATGTAATAAAGTGTGTAGACTTTAGACTGTAGCCTATAGCAGAATATGTCGTGTTATTCCTCTGGGAGGCCAGTCGGACACAGAGCCTCACTGTTTCCTGCTTTGCTTTGATATTAATTCTTCAGCCAACAACTTTCCATCATTTCCCCGTGTAGAGGCAGGGGCACGTGTCTGCCTATAGGAAGATCCTATACTGTCATATTTCTGTTCAAATACCGCTCTCTAAACACAATGATCAGGATAAACCATCTCTCTGTGTGTCCATCAGCCGGAATGATCCTCTGTACGTCAGTCACATATACATGGCCTGTCTTATTCTACAAAATCATAAACAGCATAAAGGAGTCAGGCCGTCCATCACTGACCCGGCGGCTCGGAGCCGCAGAGCAGCCGAGATTAGTTCTCAGTAGAGCAGACGCCTCGTAACTCAGCCTGCAGCGTGGACTAACTCAGGACTCACCGGCCAGGACGAGAACTCTGGACTCTAGAGACAGGATTGTGTAGATCCGGCGGCGGGATTCTGGTGGTACTCCTGTAGACCAGCGAGAAGATGAGCAGAGGGCACTCTCTAAACTCAACCATTTTCTGATCGTGTATCTGAAAAAAAAACATTGCTTTTATATATATATTTTTTTTATTATTTTGACATGTTTTAACATTAAAAACAGAATCACTGTTAAAAACGTATCTCAAGCTTCAAAGTGAAAATATTACCTCTAAAATTCAGGCCTAGATTCAAGCGACACCAAACCGCTGAGCAAATGCAGCTGATTGAATATTTACTCCATAATATTTCACAGCGGGCTCAACTGTTTTCACATTATTATGGTCTGTAGTCTGCCGCTCGCACAGTCGCAGGAGAGTTGCTGTTTTATTCATCTGCTCGCCCTGTAATAATAATAATATTTTACCTGTCATGAAATTGCAATCATCTTGATATAAAGCCGCGGACGGTTTGGCCGGTACAACACGGGTTTGCTCTGTTTTTCTATCATCACTCGCACTAACAACAACATTTAATCCATCATGTGCTTGGCGGGGTTTGGCCCAGTCTGAGCTTCTTGACTTATTTCAGACGGACGAGGAAAATGCTCCATTAAAAGATATTCATTGGATTTATAAAAAAAAAAAAAAAAAAAAAAAAAAAAAAAAACTTTATTTCTTATATTTTTTTAACCCGGGCTGGATGTGAGCGGGCTCTGTTTCCCTCCTCTAATCCCGCCCTATAAATCCAAATTTCTGCCAGAGCAGTCTGATCCATGTGTCTGAGCGTGAGACCGTTTGATCCGTGTGCGTGCATTGTAAGTGTGCAAGCCCGTGCACGAGAAGGACAGAAGAAGGGAGGCCTCCTCCACCCCCCCACCCCCCAACCCCCCAAACCCACACACTGGCCATCTCAGAAAGAAATACAAATTACAAACACTATACACAATCATAGGGCTACACTTTATCACTACACACAGATGTTTCTCCTTGTTTTTCTCTCACACACACACACACACACATGCATGCAAACACACTCATTCAGCTTATTACAGCAGCTGAGTGTGCCATCCATCAGGCAGGAGGGCAGGTTAGAGGCTGGATGGAGCCCATCGGCCTCCAGTCTGAATTATTAGACTTTCCACCAGTAACACTGTGTTTCCCAGTCTGGCCAACAGGACACAACTCTGAGTCTTCTCAATAAAAAAAAAAAAAAAGTGTCTATCTGAGCTGTTGTAGAGCGTCAGCACTTTTTCTTGTGGGTGGTTTTGGGATGTATTGCAGTGGGTCAGTTTGGCAGGTAGTGGGAGCTGTACTGGAGAAACTGAAAGCTGTTTCTATTGTTTGCGTGGCAGCCATTTTGAACACTTTATGGGTGCAAACACTATTCCTCCATGCAGGCTGTAACTATCATTACTTCAATATATGTTGGTCAGTGCGGTCTCGGTTTAGTAGCTGGTACAATATGAACAATATGAAACTGCCTCCTGAGTATATGAGAATCTGGTTGGAAATACATGCTGGTAGTTTTTAATAAGCTGCATTAAAATATATTGCTCTGTGTTGCAGTGGATGGCACAACCTCTGTCTGAAAAGCTTTTTTTTTAATTACATATCTATTAATTATCTTTTCTAAACGATCATCAACTTGTCTTCAGACGGGACTGCTTACATTTTGTGGCAGTTTAGTTCTGGTTAAAGTTAAAGGGAAACTTTGGCGTGTTGTCAAACTTTCCTGCAGAGTTAGATGTTTAGATTGCCCATACAGCTTATCTTAATTTAGCTTAGTTTATCTCATCCTATCATAAAGCCTTGAGACAGGGGGAAACAGCTAATTAACAAAGTGTAAAATCGACGTGTTTTGGTTTGTAATAATTGAAGAAAGTGAACTATTCCTTAAAGGTACACGCTAGATTGAATTGGTGAAGATTTCAGTCAGGTTGCGATGTCGGTTTTCATTCGTCAGCGTCAGAAAAACTTCCTCATTGTGTCTACATTTTAATAGTTTGGATAAAATATATCCAAGTCTCAAATCTTCATTTCCACAAAGTCAGTAGACTAGAGTTAGTGTGATGTCAGCCATGTGACTAATTTCTGTGAATTCAATGCATGTTAACACCACTGCCAACAGTAACTTTTGGCATACTGAACAGGGGAAAAAGTGAGCTGCATCATTGTTGGCACACTGGGTTTCATGTTGTCTGAAGGTCGTACTGGACGGTAGCCAAGTTCCTCTCAGAGCTCTGACTTGTGAGCTGATGTGGTAAACTTTACAGCACGGCAGAATTCCTGCAGGTTCTTGCTGTTATTGACAATAAGAAGGAACTTTGAACAGATAGTTTATGTTTCAGGTTTTTCTAGAGGCAAATAACTTGGTTTCTCTTACGTGTTGCTGAAGAGGGGCATGTTCCTAAGAGGAAGCTGTTTTTGCCAACACTAAAATAATAATTCTTTCCACTTCCAAAACGGTAAATTTGATCAAATGAGGGCATTGGAAAGTCCAAATTCCAACATCACCAACCTGGCTTGAAGGCAGGATGTGGCAGCCTCTGTCAGTGGCTCAAATATGCTAAACTGTTAACCTGGGCTCTTTGAATTCAGTTGTCTCTGATGCATGTCTGCATGATGTATCTTGGCAGGCAGCAGCAGTCCAGATCTGGTCTGACGTCCCCTCCCCGGGTATTTAAAATGATTGCTTGTGTGAATAACATCAGTAGAATCCTACCTTTAAAAAAATATCACATCCATTTTAAGCCAGCTTCCAGCTACAGATTCTCTTTGTGTTACTGGTGCTGGGCGACCATCCAGAATAAACTACAAGGTTACACTTCAGTCTTTGTGCTGCTGCTGCTGCCGGGCAGAGCAAGAAAGTTATTACCCCCGAAGTTTATTAAGTTATAACGCCAGGTGAACAACCCCATTAATTGGCGTGTTGCTGCTGGTGGCTAGGGTGAGATGGGGTATAAGGGGTTGAGGTGGGTGGTGGATAATATACGACTTCGGGAAATGTAATAACGTGCCTTTGGGATATATGAGAGGTCAGTTTCTGGAACTATTAGGGTGAAATTGCAAAGGGAGCGAGAAAGAGAGAGAGAGAGAGAGAGAGAAAGAGATGGGATGTGATATTAGTCTTGTAGCCGTTTCGGTTACTGTTTCCATGCATTCATCACTGTGCTCTCACACACACACACACACACACACACACACACACACAAGCACAGACACAATAGGCCAACAATAGAACACTTCGTGCTGCAGGGCCATGGGCTATAGCAGGCAGCTTTACAGGTATATCAATCTTTTCATCCATGTGCCTGTCCACGTGACATGCAGGCTAGATGCTGCCTCTGTAGCGACATGGATGTAGCCTGGAGAGAGAGAGCCCTATAAGCTACACGCCACCCACATCCTCTCTTTCTGCCCCCCCCCCCCCTTGAGGAGAAGAGTGCGTACCATCCAGCATCACCAGCATCACCCTCCTCTCCCTCCCCGCCCCCCACCCCCATCCCTCAGCTGGTTCGTCACCCGGGGTGACAGCCACGGTCGCAGCACAGCTTTGAGGGTTATGGATGGTCCTGGAGGTGATTGTACACCCAGGGAATGCAAAGCACCCACTTTACCGTGTGACAAAAGCGCCGCTCATCCCCACCCAACGCTCCCGCCCCTCAGTCCTCTCCTCACCTCTTTACCAGGCATTATTTTGTTCTGAGATGAAATCGATCCCCTACATACTGGCCATGTTGCAGGAAATTGATTTCAGAGGGTATTAAGGACGTATTTACTGATGATGGCAGCTGACTAACTCAGCTCATGGGAACAACACGGGGGGTGGTGGGGGGGGTATTTTCTGCCAGAGCCATCCACGCAGGGACAGAGGCAGGGAGCAGTGCACACCACTGGCAGCCATCTTAGCCCCACAGTCAAGGTCCCAACCCACAGCATCTCATATGATGAGCTGTGAACCAATCAGAGAGAATCCTCATCTCATCTCATTCTCAAACTCTAATAAGTACAAAACAAATGTCTTTATTCACATTCAGGTTTTATGAACCGTGATGAATCAGCTGTTTTCACAATTACAGAATTTCTTTTGTCATGATGGTGATGTGTTCACAAGCTCAATGAATTCATCAGAACAGATGATTTCCATGAAGGAAGCTGATGCTTTGATGAAGAACAGGTCAGCTTTGATGTCTGTTTCTCATTTCAAAATAAGACTTCCGAACACTTCCTGTCAGATCTTTGCTCTGTGTCGTTAAATCATTCACAGAAATACTTATAACAAAATTAGATTTAGACTGTCACAGCCAACTGAGGGCTGCATCACTGATTCAGTCTATCCAACTCCTTATTGTGAGTTTTTTCTTAAACTAACTATGTGGTACCAAGAGGACAAAGAAAACCAAGGAATATTAATGAACAATCATGTTGAAATTTTATCAAATAAAGTCAAAATCTTTAACTTCATCAGTCAAAATTGTGACAATTATTTTATTTTTAAATCCAAATTATGATGATAGTTACATCTTTAACATTTTGATTCAAAAACAATTGTTTTATTTTGTTATTATCTCATACTTTTTCAAGTACAATCTTTTTTTTCTTCCTGGTGGGACTGATCTTGCTTAGGAATCGGCAGCCGTACATGTTTCATGTAGAACATTTAAATGTAGAGCACAATCTAATCAAACATAAACTAACACTGCCCGTGGTGCCACACAGCACAACAACAGCGCTTTCTTTCCGACTGGGAGAAACAGCACATTGTCGTGAATGTGATATTTAGCCGTGTGAATTGCCTTGGCATCCGAGCAGCATGACTGTCATTGTCGTAAAATATGACCAGTGAAATTGAAGACAGACGAAGGCCTCCACCCAACATCAGTTAAGAAAAAAAGACTGGCTCCTCAGGGAGGAGACACACACATTCAGATTCTCCCTCTATGTCGTCAAAAGGTGCTGGAGCTCAGACTCTCCCCATGACTAGTGAGTGATAAGATCGTCCCCTCTGCCAGCTTAGACCTGAGGACTGTGGCTACATTTCTTTGGGCTCAGACAGAAACAAAGAGAAGCTTTTTGGCTCAAATGTTGCACAAACTGATTTAGATGACGCCTTACTTCAAAATTGACGGCGATGGTTAAGTCTGACCTCCACCGCCCCAGGACGGCTTCAGTCTGACAAAAACACATCCAGAGTGAAATCTCTTCTTGGAGTCACATTTGAGTTGTGCTCCAGACTGGAGACTGCACTGCTGACTGAGATGGTGTCATTGATATAATGCAATGAAGGAACAGAAGCTTTGAAGAAAATAGTTCCAGTGTGGTCTTGGTTTCTGTTTTTCATCATCAGCGATGCTTTTGCAACTTTTTTTTTTAATTCGTCTGAGCTGTTCAGACTTCATTTTTTTTTAGAAATGGTAACCCCCTCTGAGGAAGCAGAACTCTCAAGCTTTACTGGTTTATTTTATGTTTGTTTTTGATTTTCAGTCTCCAGCCAGTGGGAGAGTCTGTTTGTTGGCTTCACTGAGCTGTGATTGACTGGAGGAAGAGCCTGACCTCACCACATGGAATGACTGCTCTCGGTTAAAGGTTTTATTTAGAAGATGTAAAAGTGGAAATCAACCAGAACCAGCTCTGCCTCTCTCAGTCTTCCTGAATGTGTTTTGATAGTTGCTTTAAAAAGGAAACTTCTACCTAATGATATTTATGATCATTTTTATTTTTGTCCTGTGATGTTTAGGAAGTTAAACTAATTAACACGCGGTGATATTTACAGGTAAAATGAGGGTTAAAGGGATGATCAAAATTCTAAGAAAGAGCATCTTTTGTAAAGCAGAGTTGTCCTTTAAAGAGCTGCTGAGATGCCTGCTGCTCTGCAGAGGGAAAAGCTCTGAATAGCTTTCAGCACTAAACCAGACCCATGCGTCCCAAACATGAAGCCTCTGCTAATTACATCGGCCTGAAAGCTGTAAAGAGGGGTGGTGGGGTGTGGGAAGGGGTGTAGGAGAAAGGGTGGCGTGTCAAACAAGAGATACAGAAGAAAAGGAAGAAGTAGAGACGAATGAGAAAAAAAAAATCAAAATAACAGAAATGTTTCACTAAAAATGAAGAAGATTAAGATTTTATTATTTCCACTGAAGCTGCAACAGAAACTAAACTAAACTCTATTTGATCAAAACACCTTTAACTCGCTGACGTTCACAAGACTCTGCAGAAAGAGAATCTGCCTGTTCATTAGCGAATGTGTGTATCTGTTTATGAGAAACGCGCAGCTCGCTGTGTTCCAATCTGTTGTGTGAAGTGTGTTAAACCCATATTGAAACCAGCCCCTGAAGGACGGAGGATGAACACAGGAAAAATATTTCCTCTATTCCCACGAGGGTCATAAATTTCCCGACGATTATTAATTTTGGAGCCATCAGAAGTGACGCAGTGACAGTGCGCTGAGCCGCAATGTGCTCATCAGTTCTCACGCAAACAGACAAAAAAGAAGTGTTTTTGTCTGTTTGCTGTCATCACGCAGCAGAAGTTTCCTGCTTCCGTTTTTTTTTTTTTTTTTTTTGGTCCCAAAAAGTCATTTAGCCGCAGATCGACTCACAACGCTTCCCCCCCCCGGAACTGTGAGGAGCAGCCTTGCTTTCTTTTCTCTTATTAACATCCTATTACCAACGTCGCCCCTTGGTCACATCATCTATTCATTTCGCGCTGAAGGTCACCTTCAATCAAAAACCTCCAGAGATACATAGATACATCCGCTGCCCCCCGTGAATATAGATGAGGCTTGTGATCGTATCAGCTGATCACTGGTGAACTGAAAATGAATTAATGTTTTTTTTTTTTACTCTTATATTTTTGCTTAAATGATGACCTAGTTAAATCACGCTATAAACTCAGATAAACTCATGCACCAATAAGCTGTACTGGGATCAGACTGTGTTGAATCTACTTTCTCATATTTTTTTTTTTTTCTAAAGATCTGCATTTTCCATTTGTCCTCCCAGCCCTCTGCGTGCTGCAGGACCAGGCCGTCTGTCTTTCAGGTGGTGTCAAATAAAACAACCATGGATCCACTTGTGTCTAAATCGCGGCCCCGCTGACACCATAAACCTGCTTTACGCGCCAAAGTGTCAGTTTCAGAGTCAGATGTTTTTTTTTAAATGCGCAAGGTTCTGCGACTTTAACGCACGGATTTGTGCTGTTTTGCTCTGATATGCGGCGTGTTGTCATTCTACATTTACATTATTATATTTATTTTGTGTTTATTTTATAATTGATACATTTCCCTTTTTTCTCCCTCTTGTTCCAGATGACCCCTCGGCCAACTGGCTACACGCTCGCTCCTCCCGGAAGAAGCGATGCCCTTACACCAAATACCAGACTCTGGAGCTGGAGAAGGAGTTCCTGTTCAACATGTACCTCACGCGGGACCGGCGGCATGAGGTGGCGCGCGCGCTCAACCTGACGGAACGGCAGGTGAAGATCTGGTTTCAGAACCGGAGGATGAAAATGAAGAAACAGAGCAAGGAACAACCCAAGGACTAGCGGGGACTCTCAGTCGCGAGCGCAACACACACGCACGCACGCACGCACGCACACACGCACACACACACACACACACACACACACACACACACACACACACATGCACGCACGCTCACATCATGTACCCAACATAAAGTCCCCTATTTCTTAAACACAACATGGCCTTCCCAAGAACTGCAACAACACACGCACACACACACACGCACGGATCCGCTGTTTCTAATTTTCCTTTAACCTTCAGGCAGTACAGCCTGAGCTTCAGTCCAATCACAGCATCTGTAGCCTGCAACTGATCAATTGCTTTATTGATCCCTTACAACCGGTGAGGACGCCGCAACGTTCACACTGAGATCTGAAGAATGTGATGTTCAGTCAGGAGGCTGGAGCTGTGTGATCATGGAGGATGATGGGTAATACTGGACTTCCTCCTTCCTGGACTCCATATAAAACTGTGGACTGGACTGTTTGTTTGTCCTATGTATTCATATTTTATATTATACTATTAACTGGCCTTTGGTATTTGGCTGGAAGAGAAAAAGAGAAAGCAGTAAACCGCCTGGTGTTGTGTGAGGGCCCGACACACACACACACACACACACACACACACACACACACACACACACACACACACACACACACGGAGCTTTTTCTTTTTTCTCCAGCTCTGCTCTTCCTCTTATTAGTTATTTATTGTTCCGTCGCTGACACCGGAGGCGCGCGAAGGTGCTGAAACCGGGTTTTCACGTGGCCATTAATAAGCAAGAGGGTCCCTGGGGGATAGACACACACACACACCCACACACACACACACACACACACACGCACACACACACACACACACACACACGCACACACACACACACACACACACACACACACATGTTCATCTTTCTTTTTCTTCTTCTCCTTCTTCTCTTGTTTCGCTCGTTGATGGCCGGGTTTGATTAGAAAGAGCCTGATGCTCGGCGTTGATACGGTCAGCAAAGCCGCCGTTTGTTTCCCGGTTGTCGGGCCTAAGTAATGAGGAGGAGGAGGAGGAGGAGGGAGGGGAGGAGGAGGGTGGGAAGTCAAGGGGGTGGTGGGGGGTTTCAAACCGACTCAGCAACCTGGGATCCGATTAGGCTGCTGTCGATATTGTAGATTCCCGCCCTTCAGCTACCTCTCCCAATACTTTATGCGCTGCGGGTATCGATACTCGAGCCTTTCCTCGAGCCAGCAGAGTTTATCTGAGAGGAGACGCAGCACAAAGCACCAGTTTTTTTTTTTTTTTAAATCATCAGCCTTTAAATTGGGCTTCAAGTTGCTAAGACTCAGTTTTGGGTGAATCTAGATCAGATTTATTCCAGTGTAGCTGATCTTGATCACCAAAGACCTGAATTAGACCATATATCACCCAGATACAGTGTCGCTGGCTTCTTTTGGCTTCTTGACATCTGCATGCTTTCGCGCCACACACGCTCAGAGAGCATTAAAACGCGTGTAAAGGTTTCAAACGCTTCTACGAATCTCTCATAGCTGCTACTTCTTAGGGATAAAAGATACATGTTGATTTCAGATTCTGGTGAGCACAAAGACAAAAAAAAACATCCTCCAGTCTTTATTCAAAGTGCTTGTTGCGTAGCATTGTAAGAAAGAATCAGCTCTATTTTTCTACATACAGTATATTGTGTATTATCTGCTATGCAAGGCGGGGTTCTCTCTCATTTCAGGAAACGCAGCGACGGTTTCCGATCAAAACCTGGCACCGAGGAAGACCGAAAAACCGAAACACACACATTTACTGACACATTTAAACTCCTGAGTTTATTTGGATTTTTTTCCAAGAGGTTTTGCTGCAAGATTATATCAACACACACACACACGCACACACACACACACACTAAATACAGCTATAATATTACACACACACACACACACACAACACAGAAAGATTTATTCAAGCACTAAATGTTTTAACAAATTATGTCTACATTTAATATGTGGGAGTTTAGAAGTGGAGTTTACGCAGAGTTTTACTGATGTGAGTTAAAGAGGCCACGCTGGAAAAGGCCGAGCGGCCGTGGCATTATTTGAAGTGTCTGCGCAGTTAAATGGCGTCCGATGGCAGTTTTATAGACGGATCATAAACAACACATTGACTTCGCAGCAGTTTACAACGGTGTGTGTGTGTGTGTGTGTGTGTGTGTGTGTGTGTGTGTGACCGCAGTGGCTTGCGAACACAAAGGATGCTCATATCTGCTGCGGCGGCCCCTCGAGCCCAACTGCAAACACACGGACAAACAGACAAGACACAAACAACTCCGGAAAACATCTTCATCAGTTTGACAACACGTGAGCTGCAAATACTCACAGCAGCACAGCGGGACGCTCAAAGGTGATGAACCTGGCTGGGACGCTCTTGCGTGGATGTATTAAAGTAGCTACATGTGTTATAATACATCCATGCAAACTGGTCAATGCTTTTAACCTCAAAAGTCACAAAGCATTGAACAACAACAGCTCACGTGTTGTCAAAACCGATACAGATGTTTTCTGTCTTTTGTCTGTTTGCTTGTGTTTTCTGAAGTTGCAGTGCATTGAGCTCTCAGGGCCACCGTACCAACAGCTTAAATACAGCTATAATATGACGTACACACACACACACACACACACACACACACGTGCGCTGAAGTGAACGGGTCTAACTAACAGCCTCCTTTACAAAGTCTTAACCGGAGAAACGTCTCTCTCTATCAGCGGCATCAGATCCTCGATTTAGGAGTAAAAATGTTTACATAGTTCTCGCATGCCTCAAGCCACGCGTCATTTTGAAGACGTTATTTCGTCGTTTAGCTCTTTGTGTGTTCGATCTGTTTGGAGGTGAATGCTTACGGAAAATTAAAAAAAAAAAAAAGACTTAAGTAGAAGTTCTCAATTGGAAATATTTCTAATTTATTGTATATAATGTTAGTAATCTCTGAGTCTTTCTTATTGGAATGAGTTCATATGATGAATATTGTTTGTCTTGTCGGGACATCTTACTGTAATATAGATGATTTTTCTTTCTGTCATGTTCTGTAGATTCTGTTTCATGTTGTTGTGCCGACTGTCCGGATGATCTGTTCTGACGCCAGTCCGATGAGCTCTTCTTGTCTTCATTTGTTGATCGATTATTTGTTTCAGTCACTTGGACTTGAGAGGGTTCGATTAAAATGAAGCATCGCTTCTCTATAAATTATATTTTCATTTGAATTATTATTGACTCTGTTACTTTCTGACCTCCTCTCGTTTCCTGTCTCCTATTTACTCTCCTGACTGAAGGGACAAACGTCTCTGGAGTTTTTTTTACTCTCTGATAAAAACGGACGCGGATCCAGAAGTCTTTTTTATTTTCCCTCCACTTTTAATGAGACAAATCTGATCCATGTGGCCGCAGTAAATCCATTCTTCACTCCGTCACTCTGATCCTCTCTCCCCTGTCAGATGTCCCGCTCCTTTCTTGTATGTTTTTTCTCTTGTGCGTTGTTGTTTCTTGTTTCTTTGTGCGTTGACACTGCTGATGCTGGATTCCTATTAAAGAACTGACTTTACAGTACAACCGTGCTTCATTTGAACTCATCGCTGCTTCTCACTGCTGATTAAATCAAGGAGAAATGGCGGGAGATAGTTTGTGATTTATGGCTGAAATCGAAAGATCTTCGCTGCTGTCGATGTGGCTGCGACGGGACAGTTCAGAGACAGCAGCTCAGCTTCCTTCTGGTTTCTTCTTTTTATTCTTCTCCAGATTGAATTTGGTCTCTGTGAAGAGAAAGAGAGAGAGAGACAGAGGGGGGGAACCTGGAGGGGGCTGCGTTGAGGGGGGGAGGGGGCGGGGGGGGGACGAGCCAGCATGTGTTTAAAATATGTGTCTCTTCAGTTGTACACTGATGCTTAAAGGAGAGGGGCGTCTGTTTGGCTGCAACACCAAAAGACTGTCATAAACACCCCCCCACCACAACCACACACACACACACACACACACACACACAGATGATGATGAGTGCATTCATTAGAAGCGTCGTCATCCGTCCATTAGGAGCTTGTGAAGCCGCTGAGGTTCCTGTGTTTGTCTCTGCACCAAATGACCCTGATAGACACAGAGTCTGCAGGATCTCTACTTCCCCTCCGACTCCTCACATGATGGAAACATTTAGAATAATGCAGTTAGAACAAAGTTGTAGAAGCACAAGTTGTAAAAGTTTCCTTTTGGTTGATTGTCAACGCAAAAGAAGCCAAAGCTGCAAAACTGTGACTTAACAGATGAGTAACAGAACACTAATAGTAGATATCACAAAAATATTACTGGCAGTCAGTTATAATTTGCAATAACTGTGTAAAAAGCAAACTTGCATTATTCAAGTTTTCAACACGTGCTGCTGCTGTTGTCTTTGTGGTCGCAGGAAAGGTTGTAGCTCAGCATTTTAGAACTGTTGAGGTCAAATTCCTCTTGGTGCAACTCCACCCCCCTAAAAGTTTTTTTTGACTAGCCACCAACATATTTTCAAAAAAATTCTGGTATTTATTTATTTGTCACATTTAGCTGTTAACATATCTTTTGTAATTTGTCTCAATTTTATTTTATTTTTTCCTGATAATTAAAAAAATATATGAAATCAAGCAAAGACTGCATGTGTAATTGTAGTAATTTGGAATTCCCAGAGAGTTTCCCTGACCTCTGTCTTCAGTGCTATAGCTCTGGCCCTTGTTAGAATACTAGTAGCAATATGTTTTACATTATCAGTGCAGTACAGCTTCTGTTAAAATCAAGAGAGCTTTTTCCAGTAGCAGGAGTAGTAGTGCCAGCTGTATTAATAGGGTCGTAACGCTGGCACCAGAACTTGTCTCTGTAACACTTAATTTTAACATCCCTATTAAGAATTTATAAGCGGTGCACACAAATAGCTTGTAACACACTGTAAAGTAGTTGTGAACAAATATAAGGCACTTTTTTTTTTTTTACAGGACTTTATTAATGTAGCTAA